CGGTTGTCAGTGGATCTGTTAACAGGACGCCCACCTTATGAAGAGTTTCCTGAAAATGTGTAAGAGTTTGTGAAAGTGTTAACGGAAAGGATGGATGATATTCACCATGAAGTCCGCTCAAACTTGAAAACGTCTGCTGATTCGATGAAGTTATCTTATGATAAGAGATCTACTGATGACGCTGCTGAAGACGTGTCACCTGAAAAAGCCACTGTCGAAGGAGAAACTCTATTTGGTTTTGAGAAGGGAAACAGTGAAGCCCTTGATGAAGTTACTATTACCAATGTGACTGTTACCAATGATAGGACATTTCCTGATGAAGCAGATGAACCCCACATGAAGCAGAAGCCAACGAGACAGAGACCAGTGCGGAAGAAGATACGTCCCGAAAAATTAAACGACTTTGTTGAATTTTAATTTTGTGTTTGTAAATTCTGTACATTTAATTAAGTTATTGTTAATTGTTTATTAGTTTAATGTAAGTGGCTATTGTTCGGGACGAACAATACTAAGGAAGGGGCAATGTTACGACAGTGGTGGTCACGTGACGAGTATTCTAGAAGATTCGCTAGTGTGTTACGACAGCGGAGGTCACGTGACGAGTATTCTAGAAGATTCGCTAGTGTGTTACGACAGCGGAAGTCAAGTGACGCTGGTAGCACGTGTTGAGAGTCTTAGAAGTTTCTAGAACAGGCAGTATTATCGTATATAAGTGCGCTACACAGTGAGAGAGAGACGGAGGCAGAGACGAAGCAGGCAGAGAGAAAGAAAGACAGTGATTACGGTCGGCGGGAACTGAGGATAGCAGACACAGAGATCGGAACTATAGTTGGCAGGGACGGACAATTAAGTCTAAGCGCGATAGAAAGTGAGTGAATTGTTGTGAACTATAGAGTGTGTAACTATGAAAAGTAAGTGCATTACAAAGTTGTATTGAGGAAGAATAAACAAGTTTTATAAAGAAAGGACTTGTATCTTAGAAGAATTAATAAACAAACATACAGAGACGTAACAATACTATTAAAAGAAAATGAGGGTAGTGTAGTGATCCCATTTACACATCAAATTATAAAATACTTTCACGGTTAAGTAACACAAGTCACATATGTTGATATATATCTGTAGAATTTTTAACAAACACACACAGAAGATAAATTTTACATTTTTATGATTAAAATGCATTTCAAACAGATACTTACCACTGAAAACCTGAAAGCCTTTCCTTGTTGAGTTTGCATTTATGATGTCAACATCCATGCAATTCAAAATTATCGATGTCTTTGATGCATGCAGAGTGTATGTCACCAATAATCCTCCACTCTCCTACCTTCCACAACTTATTGAACATGTATCAGGAGATCTTACATGAGCCCTGCTTCAGAGCATAAATTAAATTTCCAATTTGCAGTCATGATAGAAAAACCACATATCGTCCAGTTGTGGGGAGGTGGATTGTAAATTATTTCAGGGGTAAGTAACTGTTTGAAATTCATTTTTATTCTAAAAGTTATAATATTCTTATAATGAAAATGCATTTCTGATAGGTACTTACCCCCTCTCACATAGATAGATATTCTCGTTCAGTGCTGCCCTCTATATGCAAAATTGTTTTTTACACATGCCACAAGCCTTTTATCTCTCCTCCATTGGAATTGACTGATTCCACCGTGTCTCTTATGCAAATCATCATGCATCAACTCTCCACCAATAAGAGTGCAACATACTCTCCTGATGCATATGACTCCCTCTATTCAATTCTACCAAACTATCACTTTGAGTTTTGGCAGAAGATGGAAGCACCGGTTTTCAGTGGGGAGGAAGGGTGGAAAGTATGAGTGCAGGTAAGTACCTATTGGAAATACATTTTCAAAATAGGAAAATTATAACTTCTGATACTGTACATCATCTCCGCTCACTTAAATAGCTAGAATAGGTGGAGGGACCGGTGCAGGGTGGATTGTTTGTTTTTGAATTTCGC